GGATGACCGTAAAACTGTGGGTTTAGGTGTTCTAATTTCAACAGTGAACTAAAAGGTAAAGTACATTCTCTCTCTTCTTCATTTTAAGTATGGATTACAAACCATCACTTACAGTCTTGATGCTAATAATGTGTAAATTGAAGCTACTAAATGCTGAGAAAATGTGATCATTGATCAAACCCTGCACTGGAAGTGGCAGTAGCAGTACAGTGTTACATCAGCCACTGCAAACACAACGTGTCACCGGTTGTGCCCCATTCCCAAACCGCCTTTTCGGACAAGAATATAAAACAATATTGGCTCAACAGCCAACCAACCTACTTGAGCGTAGCTATATGGACCTATTCATCTGGAGGATACATTAGGATAATAAATAATGAGGCTATTCTTTTCAAGGCTGTGGTAACTTCAAATAGAGTCAAGATTGATATTGTGTCCAAGCTATGCACTGAAGGACCATTGAACAATATACTTCTGTATGCTTTGTTTAAAACTCATCCTAAAAGTCACACCATATCATACCCTAGAGAAGTCGGCAAGTCAACATTTTTAAATCGGACATTACTTTATTGTCCACATAAAGGTCTAATAAAGAAGAACACAGAGGTTTGCATCAACATCTTTGCTAAGGGAACCTCTTAGCTGAAGTGTTACAATGCTGTACTGCACACATCAGAATTATTATCCTGCTTATACCCTGGTTGCCAAAACTGTCCACTAAATTGAAAGACTTTTGATAATTGTTTTGCATAATGTTAAGAAGTTAAAGTTAGCATTCTAACTTGAGTTGAAATTGTTTCAGCAAACCTCCAAGATTACATAGTTGTTTTTAACATAATGGCCAGTATTCTATTCAGATCAGCCAATACTCTGAGCACTTAACAGTTTAGGAAACAGTTTCAAGCCAGTTAGAAATACAAGTACTCAGCCAAACCATGGGTTGGATCCAAAAATCCATATTATACGGCTGTGCTAAGAACTAATCGTTAAATCAAAAAGCTGAGTCATAGTTTTCAAAAATATTTGATCTGCTCCATGTAACTGTTTTACCACCACATTACTGCCACTAGTTGAACAACAACCACGTCCAACAAAGTCTGTTATCAGCCTTGTTTGTTCAACCTTGCCACTCATTAGCAGACCCCCCCTCTGGCCGTATGAATGGATAGGAGAGGTCAATATGCTGACCCTGCGTGCCCACTCACTGCCCATACTGCAACAACAGAGGCCCGTGTGTTCAGCACATTGCATCACAACCCCTCTAACGAGCAGAGCCATCGGCCTGAGAGCACTAATGCAATTATGCAACACAAGCCCCGGGACTGTGAGCCGGGCTGTGGAGGAGGAAGAAAGAACTGGATGTGACAATTCGGGGGTTTGTTATCTTACCATTTCTATACAGCTAAAGATGCATTTACTTTATACTGCTCCGATGTTCATGATAGGAAGAGAGGGATACAAAAAAGAGATACAACTGACAAGAACATGGCAAATAAAAAACAGATATAGATATGGATTGCAGAGGATGAGAAATGACCAAGATAAATTAGTTTGAAGAAGCAAACACAGAGCTGAATCAGAAAGCAGTCAACTTTAGCATGTGTTTTATGTAAGCTGTCTGACTGAAGCCGTCTTCGGGCACAGCTTCGTAGTAAATAACACCTCTTGAGCTGCCAATGTTTTATCTCCTTCTCTGCAAGACTTGTACATGTAGTGCTTTATACCAAAAGAAGGCTAGTGATAAGAACACTACAGAAACTTACTGTAAGCTAAACACTGAGACAATCACATGAACAAGTTAATATAGGCAGGGTTACAATGAAATTATAGGATCAGCAACTGTGGTGTATATGGTGCCAACTGCCAAAGCAATTTCAAAGATGAAGCTTGATCTTTTCCTGACTGGACATTTTGACTTAGTGTTATAGCTATGGCCTCAGTTATGGCTTCAGCTTTTTCAAATGTTTGAGTGAAGGGAGACCGGCTGTGGGTCACCTCGGAATCTCAAACACTTTCGGTTTAAGACGTGATATTTAAACTGTAACGTTCCCCACTGCAGACATCTAAACCACTGCATGTTAGACTTTCTCATGCTCACAAAATAGTACTCTCAGGCAATATAAAAGCAACATAAATCATAATTTCCTAAAATGCTTCGTGTCGATGATTTTTATAAGCAATTCCCCTTCTTAAGAGCAGGAATCAATGATAGGTTAATTCAGAAACTACCACCTAATGCAAGAGGGTAGAGGACCTACTGAAGAGTACCACTGACAGATCATAAAAACAGAGCATAAACGCTGAAGATGAAACTGACCATGTGGGCTTTTACATTTTCCAAATCAGGTTCATACCTTTAAACATATTTTTTATGACAAATGCCAATTTAACTGCCCTACAGTATAAGCAATTCTAGCATGACTGGATACTTCAATAAGTCAGAATAATTATATGAAATTGTCCTTTAGACCAAAATTAATCCAATCTGTTACATATGCATGGCCTTAGATGTTGACTGAATGTGCCACTATCTGGTCATTTAAATGCTTGCTTGATGTTTTGTAAGAGGACTCATGGAGAAGAAACATTCTGGAGTTGCAGAAATAAGCCTTTTCAGACACTGGGATAGTAAACATTGCCATCTAGAAAATTAGGGTGGTAAAAGCTGCTAATAATTATTGTGTGAACATTTGTTCTGTGCAAAATACAGCATAACAGCAAAGAAACCTTAAGGATCATTCCACCTCAACAAGAAAATAACAGCGGCCATATATGGCAATATTTTATAACAATTTACAAAATCTGATGGCAATAATAAACAAACATTTGAAAATAGTCTGTTATTTGACCCAAGGGGTGCACTAAAGGAGAATGGCTATCAGCCGTGGCTAAGATTACATTCCCCATACATAGTCTGGATTCCCCAGGTACCAGTGTTAAGTGTCGAGCATGAAGATAAGAGGAACTTGATTAGCAGGAGTGCTATATTTACTGCCATTAGGCAGGACCCTTTACTCTCCAAGGTGGTCCAGATCACCGTGAATAACCATCTGAGGAATCTTTATGTATTCTGGTTTATGGCACGAGGAAACATACTCATTTTACGTGTTCAACTCCTACAATTGAACAGGTGGTTGAGGAGCGATGGTACATTTTGCCACTTCAACTGGATAAACAACAAGAAGTTTGTCAGAGAGATGACAGATCAAGTCCCAACAATTTGAGACTTTTCAATCATTGAATTGGCTTCTGTAATGCCTCTTTCCCTGGATGGCCATTCAAGAACACTGCAATAAGGAGCAAATGCCACATTCCTCTGTAAGAGCTTCAACGTTTTAGGAAGCAATGCTAGTGCCAGTACGTTTAAGCAACAACATATTCTCACATATTTGTATAAATACCAAAGCATCTATGAAAGTATTTTAAATTTCAGACAAAAAATACACATTCAATTCAGAACTGAAATTCAAGAGCTTTGTGTTTGCAGTTTTTCTGTTAAGGAAACCTTTGAATGTCTTTGTCATTTTATACATCAGGTTGTAAACAGATATCCAGTACCAGGAAGGGATGAGGATAAGAAGGGCTAAACAGAATGACAGTACCAAGGGAATTTAAGATAGCAAGACCCTGAAGAGAAACAATAGTACTTATGTACAGCCTGTGTAAGCTCCCTGAACAAATACTTCAAAAGATGATGTACTATATTCTGGAATATAGTCCAATAAATAAATATATGTCCAATTCTGTCTCCATTTGGTCTCTTTCCAACAGAGTAACTACTTCTAAGACCTACATCCCAGGTTGAGTCAAGCAATAAAGCCATTTCTGTACATAATATTGTGGCACTGTATAACCAAAATGTTTTTCTAGCATAAATTTAGTTTCAGCGGCACTAGAACGAATCACATTTATTTTATAATGTCACATTTACATGATAAAAATGGTGCTCCCGGTGATGTTTACAGGGAACCGACTAAGTGCCTCCCTGTGTGTCAGGTAGGGCAAAAAGGGAACCAAAAGAACCTGTGCTAGGAACCAAGGCTGGGAACCACCCCTTACTGTGTACCCAAGGGGTCAAGGTGACATTCCACAACACCTCTGAGACCGGTCTAATGGAGGGATTGGAGCATGGCTTTTGTTGAGAGGGAAAGAAGAGACCATGAAAACGAGTGTAATAGGAGATGGAAGTATGTACAAGGGACAGAGGGAAGAAAATGAGATACCGGGCCAAATTCTGGGAAGGTAAAAAGGTGAAGGGAAACTTTTCTCCAAATTAAGTTCATCGAAATATGAAATGATAGGATGACATTTAACAGGGTAATTTGTGTTGTTTGTACATTTAATTTTACCTTGTACTCTCATAAACATTTGTTCTTTTCCTGAAGCCTAAAACAACTTCCAGGGTTGATGTAGGCTATAAAACTTTGCAATCCACCGTCCTGTAATCTAAATTTGCTGATGCTATTTCTGAGGTAACCGTGGTCGCAACCATGGTTTTATTTGACACCATTTCCCCTGTCCACTGTCACAAAAGACAAAAGTTGTTCTCTGGGTCTATCATTTTGGGTTCTGGCAGAACAGATATACAATTCTCTTTTGGCATATGGGTTGTAAAATCTATTCAGATCTCTTTAATTTGCATTCCCTTTAAAGAGTCAATGCGTTCATAACATAACCATAGAAACAAAGGAGTATACAGCACTAAATTATCAGTTTCTGCGTACAGAAACATGACATGAAATAGTTTTCAAGCACAAATGTATATAAATCAAACTAACATATTAAATTATTTTTCTTTCATGAGTCAGCAATCTAGCTAAAACACTTGAAATTAAGAAAAGCTGTGTCTTGGCATAAAAATGCACAGTCACATTATTTAACAATGAAATAAAACCCCTTTGGTCAGAGTATGTTTTGTGACATAACCCTACAAACGTGACCTCTCAACCAGCAGAGTACAGGTGCAACAGTCCATCAAGCAGAGGAAATGTAACTCTTACCGTCATAAAACCAAAAGACTGGAGACTTGCTATGAAGAGTCAGGTATAGGTGAGAAGTGAGCCAAAGTGCTTTTCCTCCCTCTGTCTCTTCTTGTACTCTGATATATTATTTCGTCTTCTACCCTCCACTCAGGATAAGTCTCTCCTCCCGGGTCAAGCTGTATTCCCAGATCTTACCCCGTTTGATGCCTGGGAAGCACAGAGACAACAGAACGAGGAGAAAGTTAGAGAGCCAAAGAGTGGGAGTGACGGGGAAGAGAGTTCCCTGTTTGGGTGAAGCAGTGATCAGATACGGCTATTTTCAGACTCAGGCATGCTCGTCTATGAGACTGGAAAGTTACCCACCCCAGTGTAGATGGGTGGGGGCTAAGTGACAGGGTTGACTATCTCTATTTTACCACACGCACACGTTTGCATACCACAGTATGCACACACATAAGAACACAAAGACAAACCGTACATACACACAGATTCAGTATAAACACCAACGCAATCACACACACGTTGTACATCAATGGTTGAAAATGCATCACGTATATACACCTTGATGGTATGCATGGTGAAGTGAGCCGGGGTTAGGATGGCAGTGGGAGTGAGAAGACAGGGAGGGGTGTTAGAGAGCCTCCACACGCCCATCCCTCCTGCAGGGCTTTAATGTCACACAGCAGCCAATGTCGTCAGTGTGGGGCTCTGTCAAGTGGTGTACTCCACACGGAAACTGACAGGAATGTCAAATTGTTCTCACATGAGATTTTCTTTCACTGTCACTCGTGAATGTGCAAATATACATGCACACACACGCAGGAGCAGACACACTGACTCTTTCTCTTTTTATCCCTAATAAACCATGAGCAGTCGGTGTCACATCGGGCTGTAAATATAAACGGACTAATTATGTGTCCACTCACCTGTGTCATTAATAATCTTACTGCTGTGCAATCCATATGGGAGTTTATATTTGGGAATGACCACACACATACACACACAGGCTGAATATACACAGCAGAGAGGTCAGTCGGAGGCACCTCTAGACCCCAGACTCCCTTCTATTCTCAGAATGGTGATGTAACTATTGCTATTAGCATCTCACATTTAGAGCCTGGATACCTAAAACCAACCAGGCAGCTACTGTGCAACTCGCTATTTGGATCGCTTCCACTTCTTCGCTTCACACCTATACTCGACAATCAACCTAACAGGCACAACAATCAGCGTTAACAAACAACTGCGTAGTAGGGTTCAGGTAGAGTTCAGCATCCTCTACAAAGGAAACCCATTAACGTATGGTAATATGGCTCCATACGTAGCAATCATGCTGATAAGACTGGAGTTGGAACTACATTTTTTCTAGAAAAACAACTGTGATTCTAGGTCTGACGATAAGATTTGCTGATATTGCCACATGATGAGTTTCTCCTGTCTAATTTCAATGTAAAGACAACATCCTCCTTAGTCAACAGCTGTGAAAATGACATAATCAATACCTTGTTTCAGTCTGCATCTTAAAGAGGCAGCCACATTTGCAACAGTATAAAAAACTATGAGATTAGCTGGGCCACTTACTAAGCAGGTACTCTAGCCTATACATTTACAATTGGTATAACCGTAAACTCATGAACACGCTGGGTCAAAATATATTGCCACATTTGTTAATCAAACATGGATGCCTTAGGTTGATATTTCAAGGATTAACACAATCTGTGTCCGCTGTCTTCGTGCCAATGATAAAGTGACAATGTACAAATCCCCAAAAGTAGAGTTATCTCCACCAACCACCCACCCTACACATGTTGGTGTTTCCGCAGCCTACTGCAGTGATTGATGTGTCAGCAGACATGATCAAAAAGCAGCTGCCCCCCAAGAACTTTCTGATCACGTGCCAAGGATTATAGAGGTATTTTAAAAAGCTGACAACTGACAAGTGCTAATGACATAACCAGAATCAGGGAAGTATCAGGAGACCAATAAAATCTTAAAAGTCTGAAGCCCCTGAGTTTACAGTATGTCGCTATTATAGCTATTATCTATTTACTACAGATGTTATCCTTTAAGCCACATGAGCCTTTACAAAAGATGACAGACAAGCACTCGAGCAGCATCTGACCGTACATCCCCAATGGTTTCTGACATTTGATGGATCTGATTTGACAGTTCTGAGTCACATCCCTCATGCATGAAAACTATGTGACTTTGATAAGCATCTCCCATCAGGTTTCACATGTAAAGGAAATAATTGAGGCCTATAAAAACAATTAAAACCAACATGACACGGCAACAGCTTAGGAATGATCTCATTAAAGTACCAGCGCAAACTATTTTTATAGCGACTGACACACTCTCACACTCAAATACACCGACTGACACTTTGACCTATGAGCCACTCCGGACTACAGTGGCCGCGTCGACATGGTTTCGCCCGTACAGTTTCAACACCTAATTCATTATCAGCTTCAGCTTCAGCAAGGCCCTGCCATTCCCAGTTAAGTAAGTGGCAGGATATAAAAAGCAGAAGAGCTGTTCTTGTACACATTGGCAAGTGTCACTTACTGGAAAACACTTAAACCTGGGAGCAGATCAAAAAAGGAAAATATCTCAACAAATATATTGTTCAGCAGAGACGATACCAGCATTTTGCTTATTTGTAACAGCACAAAATGCAGAGAAATACAAGCTACATACGACGAGAATCTCAATCTCTTCATAGCACTTTATACAATTCATACTGTTATTAGTTCTCAAGGAAACTATCAAAACTCATTGACACATTTTACTTTATCTCATTATATATTTAAAATGGTACAACAGTAGTTTTGTTTATAATGAACAGAAATGATTAAATCTATGTTTTTAAAAATCTGTTTTATTTTTCCATTAATCATTATCTACAAGCTCCAGGCAGCAAACATCACTTAAAGATCAACAGACTGCTTTTGTTTATATCTGACCTACCTGTGTGGTCTAGGTTGTCTTCAAACAGGAAGATAACTGGTAACAGGATAGACTCCCTAATACCTCTGTGTTGAGTCACTAATTAGTTTAAAGCATGTCTCAATCCTCGACTGCTTACAGCCTTTTTTAAACTTGTGTGTGTTCTTACTATTAAATTCACTGGACGTTAAAAGTATTTGGATTATTATACATTTAAGTTTTAAGATATCACAATAGTAAGAAATTAGTGTTAAAAACAGTTGTTTGATATATTCATTGCATATTCCATTAGATCCAAGTTAGGAGATCTTGGTTGAAATAGTTTTCTTAAGAAGACACATTTTAAATAACAGCGCACAAACAGAATGAGCCCTTTACTTGATTATGATAATATGCACTTTCGTCAGTACCCTCTTCTTCGGTTTTTGTCACTTAAACATATTTTTTCCCCACATCAGATAATCACAGTGTTTCACCGTGACAATCAGGACACATTGTATGGCACATGAAGTGTTTCCCTATGTGTTCATGTATCTTGCTAATATAAAATGTCGACAGAAGCAGCACCTGATTATAGATAAATATACATTTAAAAAATAAAATTGGGGAAGTGCTTATCTTCTCCACAATGTGATGTTATCAGCTTCTTTAATAGTGGGACATACCTTATAAATTGGCTTAAGCTGATCATATCCATCAATTTCAACAAGTTAATATTTTTTTATAAAGAAGAAACTAGCAGAGCAGCTTAGGCGGAAGTCTTCACCATGATCAAATAGGCTCTAAAGTCATTGAGACAGCTCAGGGAACTAGCATGTCCTGCAGGCAGCCCATATTATCAGTAAGACTAAGAATTAGGCAAGCTTTTCACACACCACTTGAGCCATGACAACAGCCTCTGAAGAAGGTCAGAGAGAAGGGCAGAGAGAGGGGAAGACAAAAAAAGAGAGGGCACCAGAACAAGGAAATATACTGGCAAAGGAATATCAAAATGATTGTGTGAGATTTAGAGAGGTAAGAGAGAAATAAAGTGAGTGAAGTATGAGTGTAACCCCCTGTTACATTCGGTACTTTCAAGTGAAAATGTATCAGTCTCATAGTCCCTGATGGAGTTCCACACACACACACACACACACACACACACACACACACACACACACACACACACACACAACACACACACACACACACACACACACACACACACACACAACACACACACCACACACACACACACACACACACACACACACACCCACACAACACACACACACACACACACACACACACACACACACACACACACACACACACACACACACACACACACACACACACACACACCACACACACACCACACACACACACACACACACACACACACACACACACACACACACACACACACACACACACACACACACACACGCACACACACGCACACACACACACACACACACACACACACACGGTTCCCGGTATGATAGTGTTACACTTTGTGCATCATGGACACCTCACCACTCTCGCCATGTTCAAGCAGCATTCAAATGGGACTCACAGATACCATCCAGTGCTGCTGGCAATTTTTTCTTTCCTCATTACATCATCCCTTTATATCAGTTAATAGGCCGCAGAGAAACACAGGGGACGAATATTCCTTACTGCTTTCTGTCAGATCTAGGAAAAGATATGACAACACAGCAAGTCATCTAATATGATAGAAAATGCACTACTGCGCGGGAGGTCTGGAGTCAGAGGCTCACTGGTTTTCATCCAAGCCCTCTCAAAAAAGTGAATGCAACAAGCATATTGGTGGGTTAGTTTAAGTATATAACTCTGCAGGGCATAATCTCAATCATTTTTTTTCCAATTAGTAAAAAATGGTGAAGATAAACCTGCATATAAACCGAGTTAGGATTACTGAATAATGATTGTATTCGGTTCGGTACACCACATACAATACCGGACTGCACTGTAGCCTATAAATGCAAGCAAACAATAGGGATTATCCTTAAGCATTTGGGATGTAGGTTAAACATGGCATCTCACTTCATGCTTATGGCTACAAAGCAGCAAGTCTCATGCTGGCTGTGTTGCTACTACAGTTAAACAATGTTTCTAAAGATTCAAGCTTAAAGCTTAAAGCTTGAGTATTTAACATCCTCCCATGCTTCACCGCATTTACCTTTAATGCACTGGAAAGAGCAATCCACTGGTATGCAGTGTACTGGAAACAGAGGCGACCACACCGCATCCCGGATGAGCGGATTCATTTGCCCGGGTCTCAACCATTACATCTATATTTTCATTGTAGCTTGTAACGCTCATTAAAACACTCAAAATAATATATAATAAATAAATAATATATATCCCCTCAAACAGCATAAAAAAACTCTGGTAGTATCCGCTGCTGCAGCTGCTCAAAGCGGCGCGGAGGGAGATATATAGCCCGATAACAACACTGCTGATATGGTGTGGACCTACCTTAAAACGACAGCTGCTTCACTCGACTAAATCCGCAACATATCGTCAGATAAGCAGCTTCTTCCATGAGTAATGACTCAAGTACACACACTCAAACACAGCGAGCTACAGCGGAAGCTAGTGCGGTGTCCTTGTGATGAAACCGTACACCTGTTTTTCGACGCGCATGGATGTTGCGGGTGTTGGTCACTGAAGCAGGCAACTCCCTCTCCTCTCGGGGGTCACCGGGGCTCGGATAGAAATGCGGTGAAGAGGTCGCCCTGTCTCTACGTTTTACGACTCAAACCTCCAAGGAAGAGGCAACGTAGCGGCGGTGGCAGAAGTTACCGCATGTCTTGTTTTTTTTACTACAAGCGCCAGGCGCACCGCGGTCATGCACTGCTTTAAAGCACTCGCTCCTGCCCAGAAATGGACTGAACCTGCCTCCTGTTTCCGTTTTTATTATTATTGAATGATGCCGTGGCTTCGTGCGCAAAATGGCCTCTGTTATTTTCATTCAGCAACAGTCTACCGCGAGCTTCTCATTGGGTCTTCATGTAGCCATAGAAACGCCCGCAGCTCAATCAGTGCTCACAGAGGACACAGGCCTACCGTGTGTGTGTCTGCGTGTGTGTGAGTGTTTGCGTGTGTGTGTGCTTGTGTTTGCAGCTCCCTCACTGCCAGTGGTGGAAAAAGTACGCGGATCTTGTACTGTGTGTAGGAATACGTTAATAAGTAAAAGCACAAAAGTATTAACATCAATGTGTACTTAAAGTTAAAGTACCAGAACTAAAAGTACTAATTATGCAAATTGGACCATTTCAGAATAATGTGTTTTAATTGATGCAATAATGTGTTTATCACGCTTGTTTTAATTACTACTGCAGGTAGCTGGTGAATTTACTCTACAATCTTATTTTGTGTGTTGAATATAATTCAAATCATTAATCAACATTTGAAAAGTAACTAAAGCTATTAAATAAATGTAGTGGAGTAAAAGTGCACGATTACCTCTGGATTGTAATGGGGTAGAAGTACAAAGTAGCAAACCATTCAAATACTCAAGTAAAGTACAAGTCTCTCAAAATTGTACTCAAGTACTTGAGTAAATGTACGTAGTTACTGTACTTTATACCACTGCTCACTGCTGACAGGAAAATGCCACTCTACCCTCTATCTGCTGCATAGCCTTTATGGTCGTAGGCTACATGCTGTGTGTTAATGGCCAGAACATGATAATAATACAGTGAGGATTAGAGAGTGATCCACAGACCCACGCTGGGAATGAAAACTGGCAGCATACCATGTTGTCATCAAACTGTTTGAAGGCAAACGTTGAGCTATAAATAAGTGACAAGTAAATTACAGCTTGATAACCTTGTAGAAATACTGGACATTTTGAGATAGGCCTAACTTGTGTTTTAGATAGCGTTACTAATTCTTGATTCCGAAAAGTAAAACCTAATGGGCCATATAAGCACATACATTTTCCTTATCTTCATAATATAGGCTACTGTAAATGTGCAAGCTAACACTAAGTAGGTATTGGGATTTTCTGAAGCATAAAGGATTTAGGTTAACCAAGGATATGTAAACTAGCTACTTAATATTATGTAGGCCTATAGTAGGCTATTGAAGATATTTTGTGTAGATATAGGCCTACTCTTTGTTATTCACTTCCTTGTAGGTTTTTGCAGAGATCTCTAAAATATTTTGAGGTTTTGGTATTAAATAACAGAACATGATAACAATGGTTACAAATGTCGGTAGCCTACAACTAGGCGATGGCAGGTATTTTTGGAAAATGTAGTCTGTAGGTAGCTTCTACCCAACATTGTGGTGCATCTACAACGCAAATGCTTCCTTGGTAACACTGCAAGTGTTGAATTTTCAGTTACAGGGAACATAATTATGTGAAAGTGAAAGCCTGTAATGATCCTAACGTCCTTAACTCTGATAGGTGTGGATTTACATCAGCACTGGCATGGTGTTGGTTTCGACACACGGCGTTTAAATTAAAACGGACATTTTAATGTAAGGTCTTAAACACCTAATGTGTTTCCCTGTAACAAAATGGTATATGTTTTAACACTGTCTTCATTAAGCAAAGCAACTAGACCGTGTCTTGATTTTTGATGGCTTAACTAGGGAATTCTCCCCCTCTGTGTCTGTCTATCTGCCTCTCTCACTCACACACCAAGCTGTTCAATTATTTACAGACTGGATGGTAGCCCTTTATAGTCAATGCTGGGTATCCTGTGACCATGGCAGAAAAAACATGGGCTTTACACATTTAGCACTATGTTTTGCTTGTTTCAAATGCATTCATCCTCTGATTTATGTGTAGCAGATAAACCAACAGGTTGAGAACTAAATCTATTAATCTAGCTATATTTGGCATTGATTTCAAATGTGAAGTCTCCCATAAAGAGACAAAGGTCTGCAGACTTGAAATGAAAAACAAAGGCCCTATATGCTCATGAATTCTTTAAACCTTGAGAGGGACGTTAGAGATGGTCTAGTCGTGAGTGGATATGGAACCAGACACAAAGCAAAGGTATGATCCCCCTTTCACTGTATGACATATGCCACTTAAAGGATAAGTTTGAGAAACCGGCTCGAGATACACTTTTTGTTATATTCCATGGAATGCTCTTAACATCCCGATAGCAATGAATATCTTAAGTGCTTTGACAAAAAATCCATAAAAAAATGTAATCTGTGGAAGACGTAGTACTGTAAAAAGCACGACCAATCATTTTAGCCGGCCCGGCTAAAATAACCGGATGGCCTACCTGCCTGTCAGCCTTCCATCTGTGCACAAACTTATCTCGTGCCCTCATTGGTCATGTGCGCGTTCGTGTGTGTTGGAGGAGGGGCTCTATAAGGAAGTGGCAGATTTGTTCCGGCTGTGTATTTTCAAATGTTAGCGCACTCGAGCTGGTTTCTCCAAAATTACCTACCCCACCTTTAAGGAATGCATCCATACTTATGCAAATATATGACAAATACAAATCTTTCAGGCTTATGCAATGGAGTCAACTCTATAGTGTTACCTTTAACAGCACTATGGTTAATTGCATTGCGATTATGCAAAGCTAGCTCATATCATTAGCTAAACAGAAGCAACTTGCACAGCTCAACGTAAATCCTAAGGATGAAACCACGAAGGTAATTAAATTGATGAACACATTTGTATACAAAAATTATACCATGGTTTTAATCAATATATTTCCAAATGTTATGTTTATATGAAATGTAAGTCTTCCCTCTTATGCTGCGTTCACACCGGACGCGATGCGAATATTCGCTTCGCTCTAATCGCTCCTATCGCATCGCTCTAAACGCTGGAGTTTCACCGCGGCTGCCAGCTGTGTTTACTCGCATCATTCAAACAAGACGCGCTGGCTCGGGAGCTACAACTACAACAAATGAACATATTTTACCGTGATTAAATTGTAATACACGTTTCTAAATTATGCCGAAGTAACAACATACTGATACCGGTTAGTAACAACCATGAATTAATGCTTTGACAAGTCTGCAGACAAGACGGCAGGCAAAACACCTTTTAAAATGCTTGTTTTCTGAATGAAGATCGGGTCGACCAGGCTAAGCTAACGTTGTATATGCTCATTCCACAACGGCCTACAGACATAAATAAAGCAGCGACTGTATTCGCCATGGCACAGACAGTCTGTGGTTTGTACTTGTTTAACTTTTGTCCAGTTTCTGAACAGATATGAGGAGCTGTGAGCTCTGTGATCCTCACCGCTGATTGGCTTCCGCGAGAACGCGTCACGTGAATTTGACGCTCGAGTTGAAAAATTTGAACTCTCGCGTTTAACGCGGCACCGTTCAATCGCCTCAATCGCGTGATTCGCGCTGCGTCCACCGCTTCATGCGCGCCGTCGGGGGGAATTCGCGTCTGTCCGCGTCTCTGCATTGACTTTACATGTAATCGCGCCGCCCCCAAACATCGCATCGCGTCCGGTGTGAACGCAGCTTAGGTCCGTGGTTTATAGAAGAACGTGAATATTACGGCCATGTTTTACTGTCTGATGCTTCTACATGAGGGAACTTCTAACTGGGGTTAATTAGGATGTCTTAAATTGGACAGAAAACAAATAACTAATCCCCCCTTTTAAAGCTGCAGTGTTATTTTGTTGTTCACACATGCAGCCCTTTCTTCTGTCAACATTAAAGGTTTACACATATAGACTGTTATTGATATCTGACCTTTCTAAAGTGTCAACTAGACCAGGGGTTCCCAACCTTTATTGTGCCAAGGACCGGCAGATACATTAAAAAAAAATCGCGGACCGGTTGTCAATTTTAACTGATTTTAATATTTACTCACCACCAGCAGGTAGCAACAGAGGCTAATTGTATGTAACAGCCTGAACAAATACTAGAACAATATGCATCCAAAACATATTAACAAAGTTTAAAAAAGAACCGGTGTCATTTTTTGGTTTTTCGGAAAACCAAAAAACCGACGTTATTCAGTTTTTTAAACCAAAACGGGAAAACAGATCAATTAACGTTTTGGTTTTGTTTGTATGATTTACGGATAATCCAGTGAATGCTGGGAAAACGAGGAGAAGCCGCATTATGAACACTGGCATTTGTTTTCAGAAGATATTATGATAGTGTCGTTCGTTCCGGTGCACTCCGACAGCATTAGCACTACATCGAGATTAAGATTAAACTAATTTATTTTGGGAACAGCCGCATATATGGAGTTAGCCATATGTGTGTAAATTACTGTTCATAAACATTTGAAAACAAATGCCGGTGTCGGACAGACACAAACACACCGAACACACAGAGCTGAGCTGAGCAGAGCACATACACACACACATCATGCGCCTTGGTGACTGACTGGACATCTCCTTCATAAAACTAATAAAAGGGGGAGTAATCGGGCAGTTCGATGTGTGTAGATGTGTGTGTGTATAGGTGTGTGTGGTTAACACGTAGCAGCCTGCAGTCACTCTTAAGCTGTTCTGATGAAGTTAAACACAGTCATACTGGTGCTGCACTTCTCAGAAGCGGAGTATACGTCCCGCTGCCTCCGGATGCTGCAGCCGTTTTAAGAAGTGAAGGAGGGTTTCCTTCTATAAAGCAGCTGCGGGCAGCAGATCGTGAGAGTCCCGGACATTAATTCATAGATCAAGGCAGACTGGTTTACTCTTCTGTTTTGCCAATCCGGTGCTTAAACAAATAGCTCTACACCCCTGGCCGACATGTCCTTAAAATGAAGTCCGAGTTTGAAATATATCTCAAATAATGTATGCACCACCATTTCCCCACATAAACATAACAGTCTGCAATCAAACGGTTGTCTCCTGTGCGCTCCTCTTCCTACTTGGCGCACCGGTAACAAGCTCGTGCGCACGAGAGGAGACCTTATAAGGCTG